AAATTCAAAGGAATTACCTCAGCAATGAGCCACCTAAAATACAAAAGTTTACACAGTTGCAAACGCATACTAAAAATTGTTACATTTATACATCCTACTCGCATGATTGTATGTACGCAATTAAAATGGGCTTACAAAGTATAAATTACACTGTATCTGCATCTCAGAATTGGGCATAGCCTAGTTCTAATAAACAGTGCGTCAGTAAATACTATAAATAATTTCTGCCTGACCTCACGCGTTATGATAAAAAAGTTTGTCTTACCTCCACCAGGGCTGTTGTCCATTCTTGTGGTATATGATGACTTTGGATAAAGATGACAAAAGTGCCTCTTCTTGATTTAAACCGGGAAGAAATTCGTAGTGTAGAGATGTTTAACAAGTTCTGCACAAAACACCGGATCCATGGGGTGGGAAAAAGACAATGTCCAAAAAATGCCTTGCTCCTTAGTGAAGCAGCTCGAGATGTCTCTGTTCTGCGCACTGGGTAAGCGCCTCATCTACGCCTGTGATGCTGCACGAGTCAAGATTAAATGATTTCACTGAACTCCAAGAAGTAAGAGTCAGCACATCCGTGAACACACTCTGGCATGACACACACACCCACTGATACAAACACCCATATCAATCACGTTTGCAAGTAAGTAGAAAATGTGACCGCCTTCTCCCCCACTTGAGTTGTGTCTGTTAATTAATATGAGATTTGGCCCTGTCTTTGTGGCGCCTGAACTCCTTTCTCCCTCTCTCCCCTCCACGCTGATGTGCATTTTCATTGGAGGGTGTGTGGAGCTGAAGGAGCTTGATACGTTCAGTAAAGCCACGCTACATGTGCGCTCTACATGTGCCTCAAAGAGCGCTGCCCTACTGATACACATTTTATGCAAAGTACTAAGCGTGTGCTGAGCAGAGATGGAGATTGGACGATGGAGCACATGGAGAAAAGGCGTGGCTCACCGTGACTGCCAGCTCTGACAAGCAGCACTCATGGTAAACAATGAGGCATGCCAAACATCGTGCTAGGTCCAAGTGTAGAGCCTTTGTGTCACTCCCTTTAGCAGCTCATCAACAAAGGGATCTGATAGAATGTCAATGCAGTGGCACCCAAAAGCAAGCAGAAAACGACAACAACAAAACCGCTAGAAAGAAAATACGATTTTCCCAAGACTACTTGGCCATAGAAATACAGCCTAATTCAATTGCCTTTTTCAGCCTTGAACAAGCGCCAAGCGCCCTCTAGTGGTTACCATGTGCCTTTAACTTTATTGGCGACTTATTATGAAATATATCAAGTTTATATTTGCCTCGAATAATCAAATAAAAAGTAGGCCTCAAATATTATTTAAAAAGACATCTTTTTCTTTCTGAGTATGATCCCTTTGATTATTCACATCGGATTTGGGGGTTTGCATGTCATTCAAGTAGGCATAAACTTCCAGAAATAAGGTCCAGAAATAAGATAGGCCTAATAGGCTACCTAATCAGATTTAGGCGTGTAACTGTAGCCACTGTTTTGAATTTAGTTAAGAAAAGCATCGTAGCATTAACCCACTCTGAGTAACTTCCTCCTATTGCCTCGCTAGGGGGAGCCAGATTGTCAGAAATGTTCTGGCCTGGAAGCTCCCTTCTACGCCCCTGAGCTGCTGGGACACAGTGACGGATTGGCAACACACGAAGGTAAGCTGACAAATGACTGTTATGATCGCTGACGCGTAAATATAAACGACACGATTCTCAAAGGGAACATTATGTGATGGTGAGGTGTGGCTTGTAACTTTGCTTTGTCTTGTTCACAGCAAACTTCGCTTTACGTGCGCTCACAATCTACTATTTACGTTTGAAAGTTGTGCGGGGAATGCGCTCGTGTGGCGAGCCGAAACACTCTCGGCGGGCGAAAAGAGCAGAGGTAAGAACTCCACTTTTCATAAATCACCTCTTGTCATAAATAAGTGACTGAAGTTGCGTCAGTTCTTTCGAGTGTATTACAACAATACTCACGCTTTGTACGTGATGCGAACACGTTACGGCAGGGCACGAGATAATTATAGGCTGCTTCAACTTTTGGGGACGGAGCACAACTGAAGTGTCTGCCAACCCACACACCTGCACTGCGCCGCGTTGCCCAAGGCTCAAAGACGGTCTTCATCATAGACAGTCACTTATGATCCCATACCCCCTCCCCTACACCTTGTTGAATGTCTGCTTTATGCGCATGTTATTCCTTAGGTGTAGGCTGTGTGTGATGAGAGCCTGTCAGTGCTTTGAGTGAGCGTCACAAATTACGGGGCATTAACGCAGCAAAGCAAATGAGCAAAGTTCCCAGCAGTAAACGTGTGTTGGATTAGCGTCAACATTTTTTCTATATTCTGGAGTCACATTTCAGATCTTACCAAACATACCCTCTATGCAATATTTATGCAGTAAGCTTGCCAAAATTGCTAAAGCAAACAAAAAACTAGGTCTATATTTTTTCATATGGAGAACGTGGTGTCCAGCTTTCTCACAAGGGCAGTTTTATAAGCAGGGATGGAGGCATGGAAAAGAAGACCTTTCCTTTTGAGCTCACAGATTTGCAGTAATTACAGAATCACTTCCATATGTGGCTCTCTGGCTGCCTTCTTGCTGCCCCCACCACCCCTCTCCATTTTCCCTCTCCCCTCTTTCATTTGCATTCTCCCTTATTCCTCATCATTTTGGCTTTTTACGCTTTTGACTTTTTTTTTGTAAACCACAGCTTAAGCAAAGTTTATGATGATCAAAACATGTTGGCATTTTCCTCTGTCAGCAGTACTTCTTAGGCATTTATACTCTTACTGTCCTTTCAAAATCAAACAAGTCTACTTCTGCCAATCCCAACTTTGATTATCTTAACTTTGTGTGTTCCTTCTTGTGAAAAATCAACATCCATATCAGTGATCACTGCAGATATTAGTTGGTGGCCCTCAAAAATCAATAAGAAGACTAATAAGAAGTGCACTTTTAGTAATACGATTTATTTAAGTGACATAAGTGTTAAAATGTTTTCAATGTTAAAAATTGATTTAATGATGATTTAATACATTTTTTAGATAACTTGATGAGGCTCTATGGCAAGGAAAGGAGCAAAAAATGAAGGGGAAGAGAAGAAGTAATGCTATTTGACAGAGGCGGGTTCAGGATGGGTTCACAGTGACATCATGGCTGATTTTTGGGGGAAAGTATAGACAGGAGAGCTGTTCACCTTTCATTGGACACACATGTTGGAGAGCTGGCAGAACACACGTACTGGCATATACAACCTCTTCTAAACGCATACACCCCAATAATGCACGTTACTACTTTTGGTCATTTCAACTTGGATTAGATTGATCTTTTGTCTTTTTCATTCCATTTCAAGCCTGGTTCTTATTTGTTTTTGTTTGAGGATACATGGTAGTTAAAGCAGTTTGGTCCCTATCACATACATTTCCCCATTACTTCAAGTTTGTGTGCGTAGTATTCCTGTGTGTATGTTTTTGGTTGAAGGCTGTTGGACCCTAAATGAGTGCAGTTTGCCAGGCGTGATGAATGAGCTCCTTCATTTCTCAGGATGTGTGTTAAACTCTGTAACTCCGAGAGTGCCAGCGAGTGTATATTTATGTGACTTGTATGTGACTGGCTTGTGTGCATGCATGTGTGTGCATGTGTGCGCGCGTGTGTGTGTGTACGTGCTGGCCTGTGTCCCCTGCCTCGCTTCATACAGCCCCAAACTCACATGACATCAATCTGAACGTGTGGAATTAGTGATCTCATTATAGGCATCTTGTTTCTAATTACAACCTGCTGCCACAGGCACCACCACTGTGCACTCTTTCTCACCTCAATCTCTGCCCCAGCTCTTTATTTCAACTGCATCAAATATTTTTTTTCCTTTAACTTTCAGTTATTTTATGTTTGCCTGTAGGATAATTTTTCCTTTGTCACACTCATCCATGTGTTACTATGTAATTAAGCATTAGAAGTTAGTCGGCAACAAAACTATTAAAATGTGTAAATCTATATCACTAAAATGTTAGTGATATAGATTTTTTAAAATAGACAGACCCAATAACACAAACATGAGATATTTCTAAAGCAAACTTGAATACCCAGTCTATCAATGCTGATATAACTGTTTTGCTTTTCTGTGATAGGAAAATCTGTATAGGCTGACAAACTCACAACCAAAAGGCTGCTGGCTCAGTCCCAGTTCAGACTAGTGAATAATGCTGATGTTTATTGTTTATTTAAATCCCCATAAGCAGCTACAGTGTGCTGCGTGAACTACCACTACTTTTCTTGGGGTCATAGTAAAATTTCAGAATACAATTATGAGTAAATGTTGATAATTTATGGTCATTCAAACAAAAAAGACTTCTACATCAACAAAAGAAACCTTGCTGTTTGTCTCACTTATAAATACAATAACACATTACATCTACATGTTAATGACATATTCAAATCTACATGGATTCATACACCTGTTTATAATAATAATAATGCATTTTGAATTTGTTTTTTGAGGCTACAAGAGTATACTTTATTTCCTGTGGTAGATGATTCCATTTCTGCATGAAAGGAAACAATTTTTAGTTTAGTTAGAGTTTTTTTTTTTTTTTTTTTTTTAAGGATGATGATGATGGTTCAAGTGGTCATATTGATTGACAGCCATGCTTTTTCCAGTTCTGCTATCCCTGGCTTATGAGTTAAGACTTTAAATTATTTACATCGCAGAATGTAAATGTGCATTATATTTGCTTGCTACCATTCTTCTCATAAAGCTTCTGCTTCTGTTCTGACCCCTTCTGTTCATCCTCACATAGCCTCAGGGTTTGATTCTCCATAACTTTATGAATGCAAAATTCAAACTGGGAACGCACGACACAGTACAATGTTTCCATGAATATTTCATATGTTCATAAACCCAGAGAAGCTAAGCACAGTGTACGCCTGTGTGTTGGATAGGTTCCTCCTGAGAGGAAAAGCCTATGCTTTGTCAGAACACAGTGTCAGGATGGATGTGAGGCCAGTGCGTTATGATGTCACGGCTGAAGTTAATGATACGAAAGCGGCAGGGGCCAAGGGCCATGTTTCCAGTGGTGCCCAGAGAGAGAGAGATAGCACCCTGATCTATCTTCATTATCCCCAGCTCTGCAGCCTCCCAGACACAATGATCATAAATCTTGACTGAAGCACACTTCACTGACACTGAAACACAAACACTAGTAACCTCTGACCCCTTGCTGCTACTGCCTACGCACACACTTACATTCACCAATCCTTTACACAGACACACATACAGTACATTCACAAAAGCAGCCTGTATGTGCACTGGAGAGGAAGCGTCTGAGGTCTAAACATAAACCCTCCGTATACACACACTCACACCAGCTCACTGTCATCATTGAAACCCTCTGTATATGCTCACTCAGTCATTTAATAAAGCGCACGGCATGGACCTAACCTACACATCCATACACCTAAGGCCTTCCCTGGTCTTGTCTCATGGTGCACAGACAGCATTAAAAAATCAAAAAAAAATTACATTGAAGTTTACTGTTTACAATTCTTCTGTTCACCCCATACTACAATCTGATTTTTGCTTACTGTTTTTACTTTATTTTTTAAATATTTAAGCTACAGTTGTATATATGCTAATTGTTTATTACATGTATATTTATTATGAATTATCTATGCAATAATTGATCTTGTATAGCACTTTGGGGCATTGATGGGTGTTTATAAATGTGCTTTATAAATACACTTGAGCTTGACCTTGACTACTACTCCAATCACCAAGATACTACTTAAGCCCATACTGTTTTTACAGTCTTAGATGTAGTAGTACAGTAGAGTTTGTTTTTGGTCTGTCTCGTGGCTGTATTTATTTTCTTGTTCAGGTTACTCAGCTGCTGATTTAGTACTGCTATGTACACAGCTAACATATCCATATTAGCTTTAGTAGCCTCGTAACCAACTCATAAATCAAATGTAAACCAGATAAGGATCAAGTGGCGTGTGTTGTAGTACAGTGTGCCTTAGGTATTTGCTTCCTGGATGAAAATAAGATTTCAGTGTGAAAAATACAACTTGAGTTCTTTTCTCTCTCAAATGACTTAGAGATTTTTGTATGGAAATATGTTACAAATACATCACCGGCTTGTGTCATACCTTCAACAAATGCATCATGTTTTGATTGTACGCAACTTTGGCAATGATCTTTCTGAGATATTTTGCATTGACTTATGAATTTTCAAAGCATATATCAAGCTCCTGTATATACACTAGAGTGCATGTGTTAAATATAGTCTGTTTTATCTGTCATGTTTAAATGTAACTTAGAGTGCATTCACACTTGCGTAATTACTACATTAAAACTGTAACTGTAAATAAAGCAGGACTAGAGTGGTACCAAATCTACATTAGTTGCCACATTAGCAGTTACTTTACCAGTGGAGATACAAATGCCCGTTGAGGTGCCCGTTTAGGTGTGTCCTCTCCGCCCAGAGCTGAGGTTTGAGCTGTTCCTCATAACCAAAACATCATGAGAAACATAGCATTTAGAAAACAGGGCACACACCCAGAACCACAAACACATAAACACACATTTGAAATATATGATCTCATATGGGGAGAGTGGGGGGAAGGGAAGGGGGCATTTTCAGGGGCACACCCAGACCTGTCACTGCTGCTGTGGCGTGTGCCATCTCACTTCTACCACAACAAGGTGACATCAGTTTTACAACAATGAGCAGGTTTAGGGACATACGGTTGGTGGGACATTTGAATTATTGTTGATAGTTGTTGTTTAATTTCAAAATGTGCACTATAATAGCATTTTTATGTTGTGAAAATGGCATTTGAATTGATCACAAATATAACTATGATTGTATTTACCACATACAAGAG